TCTATTTAATGTGTCCTGGTAAATTCCAGATCTTTTTCGGGATTTTAACATCTTTTTTATCTCTCTACTTCTACGTATCTTCTTTCAACAACAACGTCGTATCAGAGCTATGTTTATGTTTGCGTAGCTGTCAATATGACCGCGACGTCCCACAATGCAACGCGGATCCTGAGCCCTATTATTGAAAACTGAGGGGGAAATATTTGTTTCTCTAAATCTATCTGTGAATGTGGCGTCAGTGTTTGAACCAAACAAAAAACCAAAACATTCCTCTAAGTGGTAGAAAGTCAAAGACAGGAAGGTCTTAATGTGTCCATCTCACCATGTGGTATCGGGCGCGCATGCGTTCGCTCTGGAAGCGGGCGAACTCCCTCCGGTCGTGTACGGTGATCACCAGTTTCCAGACGGCCAGCAGAACCATCCCCACCAGCAGGATGGTGCCGACCACAGCCAGTAACACCGTTAAGGCGCTCGGGGCGCTGCCGCACTCTGTGGGAGGAGACAAGCAGCCCGACACGTCACACGGTGACCAACGCTCTCAGAAAAGTGAGGAATCTCATTTAGGGCTGGAAACTCAGGACGTGTTGGGCACTGACCGGGCTCTTGGAGCGCGGTGAGGACGGAGAGTCCGCTGGCGTGCTCGTGGTAGGTGAACTTCATCACGCAGTTGTTTTCGGTCTTATAGAGGCAGAGGACGGCTCCAGGCTCCCGTATCTCTGCATGACGAAGAAAGGAAGAGTTTCACTTCAAAGAAAAGCAGAAACACTGGGCCGCATTTTTAACAAAAAGGGGAAATAAAAGTTCATTTATGCCAAAATGTTGCAGGATTCTGCTTTGTTTACCTTGTTTATTTAGTTTAAACTAATTATTATTGTTGCTTTAGTTAATATTTTTATGCTGCATTTTATTCTTTTATGCCTATTATTTTTTTTTTATATGTTCAGCACTTTGTTTTTCAGCCACACTGCAAAAACGTTCTGAAAATGAGTTTAATATTCTTAAAATAAATCTATTTATCCTTAATTTGAGCAGGAAAATTAGATCATCAACCGATGGAATGAGCATTTTTACCCTTAAAATAAGATAATTAGATAATATACACTTGAAATAAGACAATGAAATGTTTTTCATTGTTTAAATGTAAATTGTTTTGTTCCATTGGCAAAAAAAAATACTAGCTTAAATCAATATTTTTTCCAGTGCATGAGCTGTTTTAAGACACTTTGATATGGAAGAAGACAATTTACATTTAAAATAAGACAAAACAATTGCATTTTCTTATTTCAAGTGCTTATTATCTAATTATCTTATTTACACTGGAAAAACGATCTAGAAATAAGTAAAAATTTCTTAATTTGAGTCTATTTGCCATTAATTTGAGTAGGTAAATGAGGTAGTTTGCCAATGGAAGGAGTTTTTTTACTCTTAAAATAAGATAATTCGATAAAATCCACTCAAAATAAGACAATGCAATTGTGTTTTCTTATTTTAAGTGTAAATTCTCTTGTACCATTGTCAAAATGTCTCTTTTAACTCCTCAATCCAAGAACAAATGCACTTATTTTAGGAAAAAAATGACCGCTCTAGATTTTGATTTTTTCCAGTGTAAGAGTAAAAAATCTCATTCCATTGGGAATTATTTACATGCTCAATTTAAAGGTAAATGCACTTAATTTAAGAAATTTGTACTTATTTCTACATCGTTTTTGCAGTGAGTGTTTTACACACTGCAAAAAATAAGAAATAAGTAAAAAAATGTCTTAAATTAAGTGCATTTACCTTTAATTTGAGCAGGTAAATAAGATCATCAGCCAATGGAATGAGTATTTTTACTCCCAAAATAAGATAATTAGATAAAATGCACTTAAAATAAGACAAAGCAATTGTTCTTTTCTTTTTTTAAATGTAGATTGTCTTGTTCCATTGGCAAAGTGTCTCACTTACCTCCTCAATTCAAGAAAAAATTCACTTAATTTGAGCAAAAATGACTCA